ATGAAGAATTCAGGAGAAGAATTCTTTTTCATCTACTACAATTCAACAGATAATCTTGACTTCTGGATAGAATTCAGTGGAAGTTTCTCATACCACAGTACTTACTCTGGATAATGAACTCAGTCATGAGATTTCTGTCTTTAGCAGTCTGGGCATGGTTTCAGTGTATCTTGTATTTTTCCTGCAGCAGTTGTTCAGTATGATTATTAGATATTCAGGAATGTGCAATCCTTTCTGGTTTAGTAGATACTTAACACTGTAGGTTTTATTCTAAATATTTTAAAATCACTGCTACTGCTGGGTTTTTCATGGTTTTCACTCAAGTACTGTGAGTTCTGCACAGTTCTTTATGCAAGCCTCTTCTAGCAACAACTGATTGTTGTAAAACAACATTGTGTCTTTGAATATTACTCCGTTATTCTCCACCTACACTGGGACAGGATGTGCTGTCTTTTGTAACAATATAACATTATAAAATACCCAGACACTTAAAGGAAATATCTAAAAAAAACAAAAGCAAAAACAAAAACAAACAAAAAAACCACAACCCAACAAAAAAATTCATCATAAGAACAACAAAGTTACAAATTTTTAAATTCAAATGGCATCTTTTATTATCTGTTTGAGGAATGCACATAGTTATAAAAATAATATGTATCATTTCATTATATTAACCAAATAATATTGTTTTTGCTATATAGAGCTATATATAGTTCTACAAGAATTTCACAACTGAAGCCTTTTCTACATTGCTAAATTATCAAAGAGCTGAATATATGTGGTATCTGCTATGCATAAGATTAGCAGAGAACCTAACAATTCTGCATGAACTAAAAAGAAGCAGGAAGAAAGGATTCAATCTAATAACGAGAGTTATCTGAAGAAAGTAATTTTCAAGTGAGTTATAGTTTTCATCTGCTACTCTGTAGAAATGTTGAAAAGTGTGAGTTAGAGTGTGGGAGTTGACAATGGCTACAGAACACACTTGAGACACAGAAAAGTCTGTCTCAATTTATATTGGTCTGCTACACCCAAATGGTTCCCCTCAGAGGCATCTGAATTCAAGCAGGGTCTAGCTCCCCAATGTACAGTGGAGAGCAGCCCTGCTTAACTTGTTTTTCTACAGAAAGAAGCAACACAATAATATGAACGTAGGAAATGACAGTAGCTGCAAAACTATAAAGCTACTGTTGGAGATTAAATTCAGTGAAAATGAAGTCCAGGCAATAATGCTACTATAGCTTCTATTCACGTCAAGAACTGCTTATCAGAAAACACCAGCTAGCCATCAATGATTAAGAAAGGTGCTTTTATAACAGAAATGGCATCCCTATCCAGTGTATCACTTTATCTTGAATATATTAATATATCTTACTGAGAGACTTTTATTTAATCTCATAGCCTCTACTGATCTGTTGGACCAGTACTGTTATCTGTACGAGAGGATAAATAGCTGGGTAAAGAATAATAAAAGAAGTCTTCTAGGGAGATTGAACACTGAACAACTATGTTCATAGCAGATTTGCTTGGACTAATGGCAACCTATCTTAATTTGAAGCTATTTAGAAGTACAACTTCTTTAATTTTTGTTTTTCTTAACATGTAAAGGAAAGAGGTATTCTGAGAGCTAACTTATTGGACAACTTAGAGAACTGGAGAATTGCAGGAAAATAGCACTGAAATTATTTATGAAGGACTGGGACAGGACCTTTAAGGGTGCTGCAGGATTAGAGCCTGCCTTATGTTTCAGAAGGGGCTTGATATACCTGGCTTTGGGGAAGCCTTGACAATTTTACTAGTAACTTCACTGTGGAAGAGACATACAATTATCTTTTTATATAACAAGGGTTTACTATCCAGATGCTTTGGAAAACACAGGTAACCATTAATTTCTGGGAGATTAATTTGATCCCTCTAGTTAACCTTCTGACAAAATGAGATTTCATATCAGCTGAGAGACTGGGAGAGAGCTCTCTGTTTTTAATATCCCACCTTATACAGTCCATCAGCTTTGCTGATTAGAAGTCTGACAGTTCTTAATGTCTCCTGCTATATTGCACTGGCTGCTCCACAGCTGCTGACAGATAGGCTTCAGTTTCTATAGTGCTTAGGAAATTGGTGTTTAAAGTCTGCTGCTGCTTCTCCAGCACAACATGCAGTTCCAGAAACACTGCTGCAGTGCAACAGATAAACATTGCACAGTAACAGGCTTTGCACTCCCAGAGCTCAGTGTTTTGCACTGTGTAATCATGACATACTATATAGCTGCTTATCTGATAAAGGACCATCAGCTCTTCAAAACACTAGCAATGTCACTCGGAAGTGAGATGATGTCACACATGCCTTGTCCCCAAACCCACACATGATTTTGCAACATGGTGTATGCTGGGCATATAACAAAACCTAAACAAGTCTGTTTTGTGCAGGAAAAAAAAATCATGGTGCAACTTCCTCACTTTTTTCTTTTCCCCATTTCTTACCTATATGGGCTGCTTGCACCAACTGCCAGTAATACGGAATTCCCTACTTTGTACTGTTTTCTGTAAGCCCTTGAGCAGACCTGGTTCTACAATGCCCAGCACTAAATAAAGTGGCTGAAAATTTTCTTTTCAATGTCATTCAGCACAAATGTACCATGAAAGACCAATGTGTGGTAAGACAGCTTGACCACAACATTCTCATGTGCATGGCTTTATTGGAATTTCTTTCACCTGACATTTTAGTAGCCATATAAGTTTTTTCTGCTGATCTTCTGTCAAGTTGTTATAGTGTTGTGAATCAAATTCTCAGGTGTGGCAAGTGTTGCATGGTCTACAATGGCATAAAGTGCATTGATTAATCAAGCCCTTTGGCTTTTTATGTTTTTTACCATCCATCTTGTCAATTAAACATGTCTGAAATACCTGAACTAATGCTTAATACAGAATTACATGCCTTCTCAGAATGTAAATTCTAAACCTCAGTAAACGAGAGGTATATTTCTTGGAAATGTTCTGTGCATAAGTTCAAAGAAATTTAAGTGGCAGTATTTGATTTTGTTTATTTTAATTCTAAGAAAACAAGAGATTCAAGTGCCAGACTAACCTTTCAGAATGTTACTGGAGGTAGATGAAGGAATGCCATCTTATGTTACCTGGCCTTATCTTGCTTTGCCTTTCTTTAAATTTCCTTTCATTTTTTTCCCAGCAAGAGTGTGCCATTGCGTCTGTCACAGCCAGAGCCTTTTAAAACCTGCCATATCCTATTGTCTGTGCCAGCAAGACACTCAGCCTTTAAAAGTCCTTCCCCTTTGCTGACTTCCAAGAAGCATTTAGAGGGTTCTCCCAGTCTAATGTGTATAATAGCCATCACCTCTCCGACCCCGATTTAAGTGGAGACAAAGTGAACTGGTAGTCCCCAGGCTCTCTCATTGAATTGATTCCTAAAGGTAAAATCACTTCTAATGTCAAAAATGCTGTGGAATAGAAGAATAGAAGAAGCTGCAAAGAATCTTAAGGTCACCTACTGTCCTTTAAATCCATGCTATAGTCTAGAACTGCAGCCTGTGATTCTTTCTCTTTAAACCTGTTTTATTCTTTAAAAGCTGAGTGTGATGTAGCTACAGCATAGCATATACCAGTTTATGTCTACTCAACCCATCCCACATTTTCTAGTGCCTTCTAATTCTGTTGTACTGATGAACTGATGTACTGTAGCACACACAAATATTTTAAAGTCTGTTACTAGGTTAACAAGCTTTCTGTGACCTTAACAAAATTCAACAAAATGACAAAAAATATTTTTTCATTCAGTATTTAAAAACTTGAGATGATTTAAAAAAAAAAAATCACAATAGGTTACTGAGAAATGTAAATTACTGATTATTACAGTTTTCCAATGTTTTTATAGTCTCAGGTGGGAAGGTAATCTGACATTACAGATCTCAGTTGTTTAGTAACCTGCTTTTATTAAGAATAAAATACAGATTTTTCTTACTCTAATTAATTATTATTTGTTCCGTTTCTGAAGAACTATACACTTCATTGGCTGTAGGAGGATGGTGTGCTTCCCTGGAAGTTCTGTCTGCTTCTGCCGTTCATATGTGATACTTGAGTAAAATAGTAACAACATTTTTGTTCACAGCTTTCTTGTTAAGTTTTTTCTGATCCTCCATTGACCTGTTTGAGAGTGCTTCTTGAAAGAACCAACTGATATTTGCTTATTCTTATTCCAAGAAATAACTAAGATTTTTAAAACAAAATTAAGATTCCAACTGAAGTTACATGAGGATGGACAGTTCAGCTTTCTGTACACAGAAAATTAAACTAAGAATGACCAGTCTATAAATTAAGAACTTTGGTTGTCATTTTGCAAAGCAGAATGTCACCTAAGAATTGTGCTACTGTAACAATTATTTATAATTTACATTGGGAAAAATCATATAGAAGCATAAGACAGGAGGTTAGCATCCATTATGTATTTTCATGACGAGTATCCAGGTGTTTTCAATGAAAGTATGGGGCAGAAGACAGTGGGTTAATACAACAAAGAGAGGAAGAGAGGGAAAAGGTAACAATGAAATTATTTTGATGAGCAAAATGAGAAGCAGACAGTGCCCAGCAGTGGGTAAATATGGTCAAGAGGGAAAAATACATTTTAATGAGCCTTGAAGAAGACTTAGTATATATTTCTGCAAATCTTCTTAGCACTGTTCATGTAAAACACAATGTTATTTAAACTATTCTATGATTTAGTTAATCAGGATTCTTCCAAGGGAACGAAATTATCATAGTTGTTTCATAAATACGTGTAGCATGGAAATCACCATGTTTTGTTATTTTTGCTTTGCTCCATCATGTTTTAGTCTTTCAGTATGCTGCAGTTTCTATTACAGAGTGTCTGTACTGGTTTTTTGCCAAAAGACTGATTTCCCATGTTGGTGGGATTTCCTAAGACCAGGGGATTTCCATTTTGTCATTTTATCACTTTATCACAAGTTGTTTTGTGGCTGTAAATTGCAGGTGAATCTGTCTGGAAAGTCTTCTTCTTCACTCCAAACTTCAGTCCTGAGGACTCCAATGGCTGCTATGATTCTCACGTTTGCTTCTGCCATGGAGGATTCATTACACGACATGATCCTCCACTGCTCTTCGATCTGTCCAGAGACCCTGAAGAGAAAGTCCCACTGACTCCAGAAACTGAGAGCCGTTTCTATGAAATCCTCAGGGCCGTACACCAAGCAGTAGACAACCACACCAGATCCCTGCATGCTGTTCCTAACCAGCTGTCATGGAACAACCTTCTCTGGAAGCCATGGCTCCAGCTCTGCTGCTCATCTCCCTTTCAGTCTTGCTACTGTGACTATGAGTCAGGAGGGAGTTCACTGTAGGTGCATATGGGATAAACAAGCTGCAATTCCCTTTCAGAAACTGGACCAGCAGAGTGTGGGTGTCTGACCTGAACTTGAGGTACAAGCCTTCAGAAGGTTTTGTTGTTTTGGAGGAGGACCAGTCTTCAAATACATATTGCAGTAGAAGAGAATTTCAGTCAAGAAAACGTGCCAAGAGAGGGAAGGCAAGACACACCTTCTCTTATCACACAGCATGAAGGACATGTTGCAATCCTCATCTACACGTGGGTAGACTTGTAGGCATTTTCTATGGGGAATAATTTTCTAGACCTTCAGCTTGAGCTTTTTTCTTGCACAGCAAAGAATTTACCTTTTGGTTCTGTCAATCACAACTACTTATTGCACACTTTCCTGTCCTTTTTACTAAGTGTTATCCATTAGTAGGACGTAGCACTGAGTAATTGAAAACAGAGAGACAATAGTGGAGACGTCCTCCTGTGACAGTCATTTGGTAACTGATAGATAGGTTAAGAGCAGACTTGCAACAGATCTCTATCAACAACCATGACAAATATATAAAAAATGACAGACTGCCAACCGTCTAAGTTTAAATGTGCCATAAAAATGCACAGAGCTATGGTAGTGGAAGACCTTGTGTCCATATATTAAAATGATGCTCCCCAGCATCCCTGCTGTCCTATTGCATGGCAGCAACCTTTGTTTCAAAAGGTGCACCACTTCAAGTGCACTCAGCTGTGTGCTTGAGTATGTACCATAAGTCTCCATACATATATATATGTGCAAGCTGAATTCATAACCCATAAATCCTTCAATCCCTGATATAGGCACACCCTTATGATCATATTCCAATTGATGAAATAAAAGATTTGGTCCATACTTGATATTTGAGTTCCAAATTCACATAATACTACAAATTTGTCTTTCACTTATTTATCATACCTATTCTTCCATTGATGGAAGTAATCACAAATAACTAAAATCTGGTCTTCCTTTAAATATCTTTGCCATCTTTTAAGCTCTCTGAATAGTATTTATCATTTTCTGAAAATAAGCTTGGGCTTGAGTACTTAAAGCCAAATATAACTGTCTCTGAGTTCTTAGCAAGGTCTTGGGAAATCTACTGTCCTCGAGGGCTAATTTTTGTATCCATTTTTATCTCAGTCTTATTCAGGCACATTTTCTTTCCACTCTACAGGCAAACTATTTTCTTTGGCATATTGCAGACGAAAAGAAGATATCAGCAAAATACTGAAATGATTTGATGCCTGATAATAGAAGGTGACTTGCTCCTTATCAGAAAGCAGCAGTTAATTCCCACATTACAATGCATTAAAACCTGTTTGGGGCAAAAGTGATCTGTGATGATAGTAATGCAGTAGCTTCAGTCAGCCAGCATTAAGGTTGTGACCCAGTTCTTATGAGCTATTGAAGCCTTTCCTTTAAAAATATATTGTGATAGATGGTGTATTTCTCTGTCTGTAAAACCTATTTTTTTCCATTGCAGTTTCATTCAAAATGTCATTCTCCACAATACCCAGAAGCCTTCCTAGGAAATGTACTTTTTCCTTGAAGTCCTATTTTTGATGTTTCACCTTGTGTTCATGATCTTAATTATGTCCTCAGCAAACTCTCTGTAGGAGGCAAAGCCCCGTGACCAGTATTTATCACTGAATGTACTACGTAACCTTAGGAAGAAAAATGCTTCTCATTTGAATACAAATACTCTTTCATGAGAGTGACTGCCTTTCAATGTCATGGCAGGATCCATACATCCCAAATTTTTGGTCCTCACTATGTGGCCCTAGAACCCCTTGGGGCATAGCACTGGTGCCAGCATGTCCCCCCTTGCAGCCAAAGGGCAGCCCAGGCTGTGGCCAGAGTGCTGGAACACCACGGTGTGGAGGGATGCTCTTTCCAACTCCCACAGCTCTGCCCCAGCTTACACAAAAGCTTTTCAAGCATGTACTCCTGAAGAAAATAGGAAAAAAATATGTGGTGTGTTCAATGTTAACTCAGGCAAGGAGTTTGGTGGAATTAGATCTACTTTGTTTCCACAGTTTCTGGTCTGTGACCTTTACAGAGATCTCAATTTATATTCTCAAGGACACCCACATCGACATTTTTTATCAGGAAGATGCTGTGTTGCTATTATTTCTTTTTCTTTCTTTTTTGCAGGTGCAAGAATTCTTTGTTCTGCTAGGCACAACAGTTGTTCTGTGCTGCTTGATCAAAGTATCGAAAATGATGACTTTTCCACTGCTCTGATTTCTTCTTGAAAAAGGATATGACTTTTTTCATAGCCTCCTTGGCTTTTGATGCCATCTTTCTAATCTCCTTTCTTAAAACATCCACATCCCTGAAATACCTTTCCATCTATTTCTTTGCCACTCCGTCCTTCTCCTTGTCATATTGATTGTAGTGGCTATTTTGCCCTAATCAATCAGAAAATGAAAAGTAGTCTTTGTCATAAAATTTGACTTTTAGGGTTCCTTGACTCTGCTAGTCTCCTGCTTATTTAAAATCCAACAAGAATTAACTTTGCATTATAAAGTATAAGTAATTAAAACATACCTGAGATGCTCCAAATAATATAAAATATATCTTGTTTGTGGCACAAACTTCATATTTTCCAAAATATAATTTAGTACAACATTTAATGCTTTGACATAAGCAGTAAAATCTGAAATCTATTCTTGTAATTGTTCCTTCAAGAAAAATTCTGTGAAGAACAGGGCAGTATTTTTCATACTCCATGTTAATATCATATCATTTTACCTAAAATAAACCTTCCCTGTATTGCAAATGTATTATATCTTTCAGTACTATGCCTTCTGTTCTGGAGATGGCATGTCAGATCAAGGTAATTAAAGTACTCTTCTTTATCTGCAAAATAAAATGTGAAGGACAATATAACATTTGTGTAATGGTACTGCCTGATCTAACAAGAAAAATTTTTGTTTTTAACAACAGGTTATTGATGGGATATACGTGATTCACAACTTACTAACAAGGAAGGCTCAAGGAGAATGCGCTGCTCTGATACTTGGAAAATGACTTTCAATCTATCATTTAATGAGCACTGCTCTTGTAACATGGTGCCTCCTTGTAGGATGTCAGTTTAAACTGGGAGTTCAGTTTCAGAGGGTAGTGCATTCCCCTACAGTATTATTTAACAGTATCATATCCTAATTTGTGACAGTCCCTGTACAGCCCAGAGCAAGTAATTTAACCGATTTCTCAGTTCCTCTGCTACATTCAGAAAAGGAAAACAGTATTTCTCTAACTGCTGGGAATACTGAAATAACAGAAAATGCTGTAAGTGGTAAGCTGGTAAAGCTGAACTCTCTAGTACCTTCCTATAGAAGATGCAATTTAAAAGCTGGAAAACTAGGATGTAGAAGATCCCCCTATATGAGGGGGTATGAGATGAGGTTTGCAGGTGGATTCTGTGTGTAGTTTAGTGCATGTGGGATTGTGATCTGGAGGAGAGAGAATAGATGGCTAAGAAAGATATAGTCCTGGGATTCAGAGAAAGCTATAACTCACATTTTTATAATTATATTTATTCTCTTTTTTAGCAATCAGGAAACTACATGGAATAATAAATGTTTTTCCCTCAGGGACTGGATGTCACAGGTTCTCCGCTCTTAATAATAAATAGAGATGTTCTGACTTGCCTCCAATTGTGGTCAGAAAAATCAAAAGTAAAAAAAAACAAGGGAAATAGGAGCTTTGGAGAGAGGTGTCAGCTCACTTAAATCCAACTGAAAGTTTGCAAAGAACTAAGAGAATCTGGTCCATATACATCACAGCTCAGTGAGAATCATCACTTGCCAGCAATCATTTATTTTCCATTGTAATAATGTGAGATCTGGGTATTCAGATATGTGGACAATGTAAAAAAATTCACTTAAGATATCACTTGATATAGGAAAAAATGGAAAATGAAAGAAGAAAAAGGCATGCAGAGCTACAAAAAATATATGTTAAAATATGTTTATTAAAAATTGTTTAATTTATGTTTTTGACATACATTACTAAAATAGTTTTTACTTACATCAGAACATAATAGTTCTGTGCTTAAAATAGATCTTTTCATCTTCTCTGCCATTTCCCTTTCCTCTGGCATTGCCTGTGCAGCATTCTAAGTGTGCAGTAAGGAGCAAGAGGCAGCTACCCTGCCCATATACACTACAAGCTGTGTGGCCAGACACGTGGGCAGGAGGAAGGGCTTAGGCAAAGCTCTGCACTGGCAACCACCAGGAAGCAAACAGTGTCTGGATGTTATCTCCAGTCTGAGGACAGAGATCTGAGATTAGCTCAGTTGGTTAAGAGAGCAGTACTAATAAGACCAGGCTTAGGGGTTCAATCCCCACAGGGGCCATTCATTTAAGAGTTGGACTTGGTAATCCTTCTGGGCCCCTTCCAACTGAGAATATTCAGTGATTCTGTCAAACTGCTGGTCCCTATGGGTCTGTCAGAGACTGCAGGTGACCAAGAGGAATGGGATCCGCTCTTTGGCCAGCTGGGCTGTCTTGTGTTCTGCAACAGGGTCCTTTTATGTCAGGATGTCAGGTGGAAATTAGTTTGGAACCCACAGAATGCAGGACCCCTTGCTCTGAATACTTATACCAAGCAGACTGCTCCTGAGTCATCCTACATGAGATGACAGATCTTAGTCTGACACTCTATGGTAGCAACAGTCTCACACTTTTTTTGCTGGAGGACCAGAAGACCTGAGCCAGGCTCTAGGGACTCCCAGTTTACAGGCTGCTAAAATTGTAAATAATTCAGAATCCAGGAAACACCCTGGCAAATCATATGGCTTTTCCATGCTCTTATTGGTAGCTTTTATTTACATCAAAACTAATAAGAATTGGCCTAAAACTTCACATGTACGGTAAACAAAGGATATTGCAAATTTTTCTTAAGACTCCTCCAGAATTAACTTTAACCTGTGAGTTTGGTACTGAGAACAATGAGATTGTGCCAACATAAGAAACAGCAACTGATGGTTTCTTATACATATGGAAGATGCTGAATTCCAGACTCCCCCTGGAGTTTGTGCTATACTAGTTAGTGAGATAAAGACTGGCTTGATTATCTGTGCATCTCTAATTGCACTGTCAAGGTTATGAAACATTTCTGGACTTGGGAGATGTGAATTATAGGCTTTGTGATGCTTATGCAGCATCTCCTGAATGCCTAAAAAACATTCCTTTAATATAAATCATGATAGGTTCTTTATGTAGATTAATGTTACTGTTATCTATTAGAAAATGGTGTTGCAGGTACCTTCTTTGGAAAATAAAGCTATATATGAAGATAAAAAATTTGGCATGTGGGGTTTAGCTCAGTTATAAAAGCCCTCCACTTTTTATTCTACTGTTATCCAATAATAAAGCCTTTTTATGCAGATAATATTTTATTGTACCTGATTCATGTGAAAAATACTGTCAAACAGTTTAAATTATAAGGCAGAGCTGTTCATTGTGACACTTACTTTAAGAGAATTTGATATAAAGTTGCTTTGGGTAGCAATATTTATTACAAAAGATTAGATACAAAGCATCTCAAAAGCCTTATGGACTCAAGTTGGGCTGCAAGAGAATAACTTTGGTTTAATATGCTCTTCCTTGCTCACAAATGAAAAACAAAGTAATGAAAAAACATCCTCAAACTTTAAGAATAGTTTGCCTGTGCTGCTACTGATAAAAAGAATACTTGAAGTTTGTACTATGAGAATTTTTTTTTCATTTTTTTCCTTATTGTTATATTTTATGTTATAACTCCTCCTGCCAAGCAGATTAAATACAGAAATTTAGGGAAATGTGCTGATTGATTTGCAACTGCCAGCCTTGCATTGTCATATGCAATGTGTTGGGAAGTAAGTGATTAATGCCACTCTCCTGATGACTGTTTAAACTTCAGGGAGATTCTTAGTAGAGGAGATTCTAACACTTCCCTGTCTGGTACCCATGAGAAACAGTCATTCAGCGATGTGCAATTACAGACCAGGCTTTTAAAAAGTATATTATTCTGCAAAACAAGTTGTCTCGTACCCTGTCCTTCTCCTTTATGATGTTTACCAAAAATAAATGGAAATCCTCTCTGATGCTAAGGTTTATGCTACGGAACCACAACCCTCTGATTATCTTTCAAGAAAATTCAGCCACCAAAGACCAACCCCAGCAGCTAAGCACTCTGACCTTTCTGGATTAATGACAATAATGAATGCTAGAGCTCCAGCAGCTGCAGTAATGTATACAACATGAATGCTGCTGACACTCCATTTTTAAGCACTCAGTACTGGGCTATGTAGAGCATCTCCATCTTTACATATTAAACCTATAGTTGGTTTCGGCTGTCTCCTGTGTTCTTCCTTTTTCTCTCCAGACCCACTTTGGGAAATGTAGAAATCAAGATGTACAGGCTGGGAATGAATAAAAAAAAAAAGCTTTTCATCATCTGATTGAAACTGTGACACTGCATGGTAAAAAATTTTAAATCCAGAGAACTTAGAAGAGGGTAAAATTCCCTAGTGGTAAGGACACTCACCTGGGCTGTGATGACAGCTTTACTATGAAACTTCAAGACTGATTAAGTGTTTTTAATCACATGAGGTACACATATTGCCTCTGGAGCAGAGAGGGATGTACCTTTTGGCCATGAAGTCACTTTCTGTCTCCGTTACTCACTGTCTGACTCGGTGAGGGTAGAAGTCTTTGCTTCAGAGAGGCAAAGCTCATACTAAAAAGGCAGAAAGTACAGAGTACTTCTCCTTGCCCACCCTCTTTTTACACCCAGCCAGATGCTTAGGAATGCTTTGTTTTAACTCCATGTCCCATCTAAAAAAATGTCAGGGATGGAAGGCTTGAAAGTATTGTCTGTCTTCTTTGATCCCAGGCTTAGAAATGCTGTGCTTGGGCAGAAAGGACCTCATTTTCACACTGCCAGTAGTGCTCTGAAAGTAGGATCAAAGTACTTAGATGACATAGGGAGGATGTATTCCCTGCCTGCAGAAGAATTTGGAGACCAACATAGGTAGAAATATAGTTCTAGGTCTGAGATTTATTTAAGTTAGATGATGAAGATATATATACCTGAGTTTGTCTTCATTTCTACCCAGGACAGACAAAAAGGAGGTGGGTCAATCCTAGCTTGTGTGGCTGGGTGAGATTCTGTTAGTCATGTCTAATAATGCTATCTTGTTTTTTTTTTCTTTTTTCTTTTTCTTTTTTTTTCCTTAGCTAAAAGAAAAAAAAAAGGCATAAAATACAATTTAAACAGCTTAAACATTTAAACATTAAACAGTCTAAACATTTAATAAAATCCCATGGCACCTGTTTTTAGGGAGTAGAATCCTACTTCTTTCTCCTGGAATCGTTGAAATATTTTTTAAGTGAGGAGGCACGTATGATATTTTTAATGGATCATCATAGCCAGAATTTGCAAGCAAATGCCTATTTTTCACTGAAAGCACTTTTTTTTTCTTTTTTTATAAAGGATAAATATCTCTGTTTACTTTCTTGTTTCCTTGGCTTTATTTGCATGGATCTTCAGTTCTTGCCTCTACATGCTCTGCAAGTAAGAGAAGAAATATCTTCTTGGAAGCATTTTAAAAAAGTGTCATCATTATATGGTCAGGCAATTTGTTTTTAAGACCATATTATGCTATTTTAATTATTTTACTGTGATGAGATGTTTCAATTAGAATAGAGTTTTACTAACAGTAACTTAAGATCTTTTCCACTTTATATTTTCTTTTAACATCATTTATAATTGTTTTGAAAGGACTTGAATTGAAGAATACTGATGAACTTAGGGAAAAAATGTTATGACTTTTAAAAGACAGCTTTCAACCTCTATTATAGTGGATGTTTAAGTGTTAAAACATTTACATTGTTATATGCATATGACACATTTTCCATCTTCTTGTATCTTCAGAAATACTTTGGAGCCAAGCAAACATATAAACTGCACTGAATTATGTATGAAAAAATATTTTAGGGCTCCATCTGCTAGGCATTTTTTACAGATTTTTTTCTTAAGTTAAAAATGTTTATGCTGCATTATATTAGGTATAAAACTAGTTGCAGCACCTTAATGGATTTTATTTCCGAGTATTCTGTATTATCACATGACAAACACATACCTTGTAAGAACACAAGGAGAAAGATCCTAGTTCTTCAGGGCATTTAAACAAGGTTTGCAATTTCCACTGTGTTCAGGAATTTTGCTGATTGAGACCACTGAAGAGAGATTAAGTAATTTATAATATTTTTCTTATACTATCAATATCTTTATTCTAAACCAAAAACATTTTGCATGTTTTAATTGCCAGGTGTTCCCAACTTTCCCATTCCATAATTTTAGGAAATGTCCATCAGATATTTGTAAGCTTGCCTCCAGCCTTGCTTTTTTTGAAAATGCAATGCAAGTTAATATTTTTTTCTGAGCTCTACAGCCAATTACTTCTGTTACTAGGATACTGTTTACCCTAAAGATCATGATGTAGAATGTACTGGATAAAAAGGAATAAAAAACTAACAGAACAATGAAAAGCATTCTGAGAGGATAAATCCAAAGGCATTGATGGTCAACTACTATCCAGCTACAAAATATACCTTTTTACATGGGTCAAAAGAAGCAACACTAAATCCATTGTTAAAACAGAGGACGAAAGTATTTAAATGAGAGGTGAAAGAAGCATTTTACACATGAGATAGAAATTACCTAAGCCCAGCATTAGCTATTGTTACACTGCCTTATGACTCCACAGATATAAAATGCTGTTGAAAGGACATCCAATAAACCAACACACAGAAAAAATGGATTTAAGTATAAAATATATGAATTTTTCAAGTAACCACAGAAAGATATAAAAAAAAATGCACACCAGCTCTGCTTATACTTGGATGTATATTGTATATTCATGTACACTTG